GTATTTTCTTTGCATTTATTCTGTTTTAATCCGTGCTCAGAATCAAATGTCAAAACTCTATGGCTTTTTACAGGGGTCAAAACAATCCTGGACCTCAAGGCGAAGCTATTGAGGAATTTTAATTCATCTTTTGTGGAAAATGAATATTTCGTAAAAAGTAGATCGTGAAGACGATGACACTGCTGGTTTTTCCCAAGAACAACACACATCGGCGCAGTGATTATTTCCATATCTTACCATTGGCATTAAGCTTGAATTGTCATGCCTTTGTATTCAGCAGTTTTTCTAGTTTTTGTATACTTTTATTCTTTTTTGTATTTTTTTGACAGTATTCAGTCGAAAGTATTCAGCTCTTTACGAATGGTTCGACATTAATCTTTTGAGCCTGAGTTGGTGTGTTTCGTAATGATGCAATGTATTGTAGCTTGCGGGTGGTAATGCATTGTGGTTTGGTAATCATGTAGAGAATTTTGTTTCTGGTGGAGATTAAAATGTTCAGGCATATTCTGGGTTTCTACTGGATGAGTCTGTGGTTTGAGACGTTTGAAAAATAAATGTAGTAGTAATTTCAAGAGCGAAACAAATTACTAATGAATATCAATATTCGAGTTCGAAAACAAAGAGAACTATTAAAAAAACAACAAAAATACAGCGGAAAAAATCGTAATTTTTGTATTTAAGTTTATTTAGATTCCTGTTATCGGTGTGCTGCAATTAAATGTGGTAAGAGTACCACGGCAATGTTAAGCCGTTTGTCTGGACACTCATACGGCGCATAAGCACGGGCACGAGTATGTGGTTTGTAACAGTTTCGTCATCTCCAAGCATGTGGGTTTCAGCCAAGTTGATACCAATCGCAACTTCCGAATATTTCCCTCTTGATAAAACTGATTCTGGTAGGATTCCAGTTGTTTTTTCCCACGTACTATTCTCCTTGTCACTGGACAATGCTGTGTCGATGATTCGTACGGTGTGTGCTCATCTGCGTGATATGCCTGTGGGAGCGGGAAAGAAGGCGCTATTGGCGTCGTTGGGTCTGCTGGCCAGTACATGTACCGCGGCAGCCATCGCCAGTATTTGGGAGAATGACGACATGGTGGGACAGTGCACGCAACCCGTAGAAGTGGCCAATGCCTCCATAAACTTCGTCCATCTGTATCCTGGTCTGCCACCCGGAGCGATCCCCTGTGATGGGCCTGGACCCAGTTCCTGTGGCCGATGGGATCAAAGTAAGGGCTGTTTTGTCAACTTTTGCAAGTGATCGTGAGTTTTGTTGATAATTAGCTCGGGTTGGAGCCAGGAAATCGTCGCGTGCGCCTTACAACATTCTCTCACATCATCGACATCCTACACAAGTTTTTTGTCGTGACTTTCTATCAAACTGATTACTAATAGCAGTAGTTCTGAAAAAATTTGGAACACCCTTTGATACTAAATTTCTAAAAGTAAATTTCTCCCAGCATTTCACTTTTTTGAATTCGAATGAGTGTATGTACGTATTGGGAAATTTTCACACATTAACACTTTATTAATTTTTTATTTTATTATCGTAAATTATAAACGGTGCATCATTCCACCTCGACTTACGATTTTTTAAATCGTCAGCACTGCTGCAAGCGCATGTTAGTCAATATTTTTGAGGATGTCTTGAATAAAACTATCGTTGGGAATTCACCATGCATCCAATGAATTTTCCAATTTTTGATTTAGTGATTTGTTCGTGTAGACTGGGACAGACGTGAGCCAGCTGATACGGCTAAAAGCGAAGCCTAATGCTCGGGAACCGGACTTGGCGGCGGCGACGCCTAAAGCTACGCGAAATTTATTTTTCTTCCGACATGGACATTGTGTTGTGGATGGGATCTCAGATGAATGTCGTATACTCATAGAACTAGGTAAGCAAGCTATACAACGTTAAAGCTCTGTGTCTGGATAAATTGGTCGGACATATGGCAGAAGTAATTAAGATAAGCGAATCAGAAAGATAGCCGATGGAGCTGCATTGTACAATCGCTGTCTTCTAAGCCTTTTATATTTTAGACTGTAGCACTGACATGTTTTCGCAGGCCGCGCACAAGCTCAGAACACAGGAAAACGTCTGCGTAATTTGCTCTTTCCTTGGACAAAACTGATCCACTCGAGCATGTGCCGTGCTCGGAAAACTGCTCAAATTATTGCCTCATCCTTGCCGGAAGTTGAGCTCGAGAGCGCTGATCTGATCCGTCAGGGCGCTTCTATTCCTCCCGAACCTCGGCGGGCAGCTTGCGACCGGGTGCTCAGGTGGGATTTTGTTGTTATAAATTGACTTAAAACGAAAAACTGATGCGCTTTTTTTAATTGCCATTGGTATCTTAAAATTCGTAAATAAATTTCGAAAAAAATACTTTTTAAATTTTTTTAGATTGCGGCCTTCCGGTGTTTCATTCAGGTTAGAGGTGGCCTTCCGGCGTTCGCTGATACTGATCAGGAGATGGGCAGTTCTGAGATCATCGTATGCCATGCCAACGTTATTAGCTAATTTGTCTGCAGGTGGGCCTGTGTGTTTCAAATTCGTTCACCATTCTAATGGAAGCGGTTGTAAAATTACCACTGGGAGGCACTTTTTACTTGACTATGCCGGTGTACGAAACCACTTAATCCATTTCAGCACTTTTGCTAATACGCCGGTTATTACAGCAACGTAGGCATCTGAAATCGATATAATGCATAGTTTTCCCTTACTTTATCGATCAGAAATGATTGATTGTTGATTTAGTTCGAGTCGCCATTAATAAGACTTGTATGGCGCTCTATGCTGATGCGAAAGGTTGTTTCCGTCATCTGTACTCTAGTTAAATGACGTTGTTTTGCTATAGTTTTATAGTGTTAAGGTTTTTGTTATAAGTGACTATTGCAGCGTGTAGTTTGCTTGAAATACTACTGCTAACAATATATGAATTTCAGAGCTCTGCAGTTACCTCCAGAAGCGTGGTTACGGATGTCCTTATACCACATCAGTATAACTTGGCTGACCATACGCCCTAATGGACGGGTAAGATTTTTATGTACAATTATATCGTAAGTAAAACGTCTGTAAGGAATTCGTCTTTTCAAAATTTTCAGGCTATTTGCTTGTCTACTGGTACATATTTGCAGACAAGAATAACAATAAGTAATAATATGCCTTTATATCACGCTACGATTGTTCATGTTGAACAGATGAGCTTACGCATGTAAAAGAAATCAAGGAATCGGATTTTCATGCCCACCATGTCTAGGAGGACTGCCGGTCTTGTCCTGGAGAAGCGCAGTGTTATTAGTTGCTGTTTTTCATATATTTTTATACGGTTTGTTGCTGATGAACATCTTAATCAGGAAAATAAGTCGTACGCACCGGTGAAAAAGCCATCACGGTATGCTGCTTGGGTTTCCTTCTTTTATAAGCTTCTCTGTTGTTACCTGCGCAGATGTTGATCTGTTTGTGATAATTATTATTGTGAATAAAGATTCGAATGTACGGTTAGCGATCAGTCTTGTTATTATAGAACTTGAATAAGTGTAATATCCGAAACTGTCCTTTTTGATTGGCCTAGTGGCTAAGCGCCACATTCTGCACCAAGTTTTTTCTAATAAATACAGGATGTTGTAGCCGGATTAGCTCAATGTATGACATTGTTTTCTAACGAGTTGAACAGCTAAACTTATTTACTTTTGAATTCTTGTTACACTTACTGCTATACAGTACTACTATGGACAATAACGCCGTACAGCCCGCAGCCGTTGATCATTTTCAGGATGCCACTGCCCAGGTTGAAGCATACCTACAAACCTTGGCGCCGACAGTGTCGACATTGTATTTTGACCATATCAAGATGGTCGAAATTCCGCCAACACCACTGTTTGCTGGATTTACGAATATTCAGTAAGATTTTGTTGTACAAATAATTTTTAAAAATTTTAATAATTTGGCTGAAATTGTGAATCAAGTAAAATGCTTAAATAAATGTAGAATAATTCTACAGGTCTATCACCGCGGCCAAGTGTGGCCTTACATCGCTGGCCAACCTCCCTGGTAAAGCGACGGTGCAGTCGCTGTACCTGGAGGGCAACGCTTTGTCCGGATCGGCCTTGGAGGCCCTCCGGGACTGTCATTCCCTCCGACAGCTGCACCTTCCGGACAACCTGTTCGAGTCGGCGGACGACTTCTGACCGATCCGAAACCTGCCATTGGATCTGCTGGATGTCGGGTACAACCCGATCACCCGCAGCTCGTCCTGTCAGGAAGCATTGGAGCTGCTGTTTCCCAACACCGACATCCAGGTGACCGGACACATCGTCCAGGAGGACTCCAGCAGCAGCGCGGAGGAATCGTAATTATATGTTTCCGATACTGGTATTTATTTTTATTAACGTTTATTAATTACTATCAAATTATCTTTCGTTTCCTTTTTATTTATCAGTTATATTTTTTAAACTAGAATTCGAAGAAGAATCCACCAAGGATTCGGAGGAAATGGCAGCCGCCGTCAAAGCGCTGGAAGAAGGTAAACTTGATTTTTTGAGCTGAATTATTTTTAATTTGCTTTTAATTCTTTTTATTCGTAGATCCGGATTGGGAGATGGATCATGTGAGCAACTCGTGCTCCGAGGATTCTGCGGATTCGGAATTGTAATTCGTTGGTTGTTTTTGCGCTACTTGTGTTTTTTTCAGCATTGTTGTATGAAATTAATAAATGCCAGTGGGCTACGGTGTCGCTTTACGTTACAAGATAATAATCACAGGTGCTAGCAAATGCATTCACATACACATAATATAGTTCTTTATTCAGTTTATTGTTGATAATAGTATTGGCATACACACAAACGATCTCACTCGTTGCCAGAGCAACGCTCCGTAGCTACTTTACCCATCTAGTTGCTAGTCTACTCAGCTAGTTGCTAGCGTATTCAACTTGTTTCTTAACTGCATAGTCTTTCGCGGGTTCATCCATGCAATTTGATCTCCATGCAAATTATTCGCACTTGTCTGCACTTACAAACTTGTAATATTTGACTTGCACGATTTCTTTATCTGACGTATTTTCTAAAATGTCCGAATATCTTTCACCTATGGATTGGGAGGCCTGGGGCCGTAATTTTCATGAAAGTGTAGCGTCCTTTAACGCTGAATTTGATATCGTGGATCAGATTTTGCGGGAAGCAGGTGTGGTTCCTGAAGTAAGCGAGGGATTTGTCGATCCGGATACACAGAAGGACCGATACCTACCACGGTACGAGGCGATCTCCCCGCCGCCGCCGGCCGAAGCGGATCCTGAGCCCGTCCTGATCCACGTACCCGAACCCAGCAATGCCACCCAGTTTCAGCCGCCATGCCAGCTCGTGCCAACGTTCGACCCAGTACCTCCGGCTCCCCCATCCCAACTTACGCTCGGTGAGCAGGCAACGCTGCACGAGTTCCTTCAAGTTCGACCTAGCGGACCGGTATCGATGTATGCCAATGTGGATACCGTGACTTTGACGCACAGCGGAGCGTTGACGGTTAACATCTACCGTGAGAATGGCGTCCCGCAGTTCGCGACCCTGCACACCTGTCGTGGGAAAGAGAAGGCCGGTTGTGCCACCACCATGGGGGAGCTGCGTGCTGTACTGCGCTTTCTTCTCTCGGCTGAGTGCGACGCCCAGATCCACCGCGCATCGCCACCTGTCAAGAGGGGCGAACTCGTCGACCCAATGTTTCGGAAAGGGTTCTCCCTCACCCTGCACGCCGCCTGGATCTCCCTGAAATCCGGCAAGCACTTCCAGCTGCGGATTTCGCGCGTGGGCGACAATCATCGCAGCGTAGCCACGCCCAAGATCAGCCAAACCACCCTGCAGCGCCTGCGATGCAAGAACTGGTACGAGCTTCTCCCGCAGCTCTTCCCGGGCTTCTCCCATGGGATCAAACGTAAGGTCACCAGTTCATGCAAGTTCATTTCATTGTTCAACCAGTTCAGTTCAACGTTCATAAAGTTCAATGTTCACTGTAGTTCAGTGTTCATTAAATTCATTTCAATTCAGTTCAATGTTCATTAAAGTTCGGTATTCATATTTTTACATTCATTGTTCACTGAATCGAATTGAATTCATCTTTCATCTTTTTTAGCGTTGCCGCAAGAGTTTTGGAAGGACTTCCGAGCATACCTGGCTATGGAAGCCGTCCATGCTGCGCGCTCTATGGACATCACTGGACCGACGGAAGGGCAGTTGTCGGTGATGCTGTCTAACCTGCAAGCGTCTAGTTTCTACAGTATTTTGCTGGAGCTGATGCCTGTCTATTCTGATTGTTCTTTTACATGCTTTGCCAGTATTGATTACGTGCGTGAGCAGTGTCAGATGTGGAACTTTACTGTTAACAATTATTTATTGTAGCATTGTGTAGCTTAGCCACTGCGTAGGCCAGCAACCGTTTGTGTACGTTAGCCACTATCAGTATTTCATATCAAGCTCACTTGTTCTGAATTAAATTTAGTTGGCGTGTTTTTGTTTAGAAAGTGTTACTAATGAATTTCAATCATGGATTACACATTATCTGATGTTGATATGGCTGACTTAATTGCGGACGGTGATTGGGATGACGACGATCCCATGCAGTTAGATAGCGATACATTACGTGATGCTGCCATGCTAGCGGCAGAGGATGACTGGGTTTTGGATGAACCTATGCCCCAGTGGGGCGGTAGTTCGGATATAGCAGACAGAGTCGATGTTCGCTGCATTGGTCGTAAATATTCCAGAAAATTTCGTGTACATCTGAACACTTTTGACGTTAAGGTTTCTGATTTAATTGGTACTGCGATCAGTGACATTTCGCAAACCATTTGTAGCATTTTAGAGTATATTCTGGCTGTTATATTGACTGGTGTGAACGACAGCGATGCGGTCCGTCTGCGTGTTGATTCCCGTCATTTTGATCGTCCTCTTTATACATCGCTGACCCTCCGGACCGAGTTGAGTGTCCAGCGGTGGATGGCCGATATTCAGCGCGTTTTGAACAGCCATGAAGAATTCAGACTGGATGATTCCTTCCAAATCTTTGTTCAACATACGGAGCTGCCGTTTGGTCGTTGTGTGAAGGATGTACCGGCACTCCTGATGCGTCGTCTGAAGAAGATGAAGTCCGTGACGATTGTTAATGGCGATGATAACCTTTGCATGGCGCGCGCGTTGGTAATGGGCAAAGCTTTAGCCGACAACGACAAGAAGCTGTTCCGGAGCCTGCGGCGGGGTAAGCGAGTGACTACGAAGTTAGCCAAGCAGCTCATCAAGCGTGCCGGTTTGCCAGAGCGGGCGTACACTCTTAGAGATTTATCGGCGTTCGAGAAGGTTCTTACCGCATATCGTATTGTTGTGGTCAGCGTTGACCATGCGAATGCCATTGTCCATAAAGGCCATAAGCATAAGAATCATATAATTCTGCTGCATCATGACGGGCACTTTGATTTGCTGAAGTCCTTGCCGGCGTTCTTTAAGCGTAACTACTGGTGTTTTGAGTGCATGAAGGGGTACGATAGCCGTGTTAAGCATCGCTGCCGTGCGAGGTGTTCGTTGTGTCTCCGCGCATCTTGCTCGCAAGATGCCGACAATCTTCTCGTTTGTCCGGATTGTCATCGCACGTTTCCTGGCCAGGATTGTTTTAATTATCACAAGCTTGGTAGCACAAAGGGTCCTTGTCATCGGCGTAAGGCTTTATGTGACACCGTTAAGCTCTGTGTCCAGTGCCGCTGCATCTACTCTAATGCCCAGCGCAAGCCGGACAATCCTCACCGTTGTGGCGAGACGAAATGCAAGACCTGCGACGTCTTTGATCTTCCCGCGGATCATCGCTGCTACATGCGTCCCAAGCCATTCACTCTGGACCGCATGGCCAGGTGCGCATCGGCGAAATTCTTGTACTTCGACTTTGAGACCTACGTTTCCTCGTCCGGTGACCTTGTGCCCAACTTGGCGGTAGGTTGCTCACGGTGTGTTTGTTTTTATTGTATAACAAGAATGCTGTGTTACGACAGGTTGCACAGAATGACGTAGCCGATGAATGGATTTTTCCCGACTCTGCTACGGATATTGGCAAGGACGTCACCGATGACCTTTGCACATTCCTCTTCCAGGAAGACCACCAGGGCTACTACGTCATCGCCCATAATTTTAAGGTATTCTTTCTAGACAATTCATTTAAAATCACTTTTGTCAGAGACCGCTCACTCGAGGCGGTAGACACCTCTCGTGGCTTTGCTCTGTCGCCCGCCCGCACATGGCTACTCCATTCGTGCCGCGCTATTACGCTGCTTACTCAGCGTATACTTTGTCTACGCTGACCAATCAGCGCATTTCTCTGCACTCTTGGGGGTGGAGCCCTGCGCCTACGGGCGATTCCATGCTTTGCCGCATCAGCTGTTGCAGACCCGCAGCACGCGGAATCATTAATCACGATTCTCAGCTAGCGCACTGCAGGCACTTTTTCCAGCTATTCCCGCATTGGGTTTTCTGTTGGTTTTTGTGTGTTGTTGCTTTATTGTTATCACAATAAAGGCTATATTTGCCCCATTTCTTCCTGCTTCTGTGTCATATCTGACATGGTAGCACTATCGTTCGGTTTTCTTTCCTGGAACCTCTGATCCCCCAGTGAAGGCACAATCGGTCGAACTACGCTGATCGCCTATAAGTAGGCCAGCAATCCCGCGACCATCTCCTGCATCATACGGATCTCATTGGAGATCCGCAGCGCGACGGATTACATACGGGTCGGCGCCTAAAAGTAGGTCCCCCGCAGCTTTGGCTCCCGGCGCAAAAACTGCGTTCGGTACGTCGCTGTTGACCAATTAAGCGCCCTACCGGGTTGCATGATACGGGTCAGTGCCTAAAAGTAGGCCTCCCGCAGCTTTGGCTCCCGGCGCAAAAACTGCGCTCGGTACGGTCCTGTTACACCAATACGCCCTATCGGGTGCGCTGCGGCCCTCACGGTAGAAGAGGGTGAAGGGGAACGACGGAGCAGCACTTTGGCACGATCAAACCGCCGGTAAGACCTGCTGTGACGGGTAGGTTTTCGTAGAACTTTTTGAAAAATTCGAGGTTTCCGCGTAGAACCTACCTAAAACCCTTCATAACTTTTCAACCGTTTATCCGATTTGCTCCAAAATAGCTTTTTCGGATTCCTCGTAGAATTCTGTACTAGAAAAACGTAACAGAACTCTCGAGAAATTTTTTCCTGATTTTTGACGAATTTTCGGCGAAAAACAACCGCCATTTTGTCCAGCCGGAATTTTTGCGAAAAAGTCGCGTGACGTCACTGTGGTGATTTTCCATAAAAATCCGACCAACCAGAACACGTGGGAAACTACCCCGTGTCATAACTCTCGTAGTGACTCATATTGTTTTTTGAATTTTGCTCACGGCACGCTACTCGTGACGTAGAGCTACTTGCAAGACCACTTTGTAACCGACGTCACACTGGTCAGTAGCGTAACATAGGGCCATAGGAAGCTAACGCTAAACCTGAGCTCTAGCGTACCTGACCAGCACCAACCAGCGACAGCCAACCTACCGTTCCGGTCCGGACCAAGACCAAAGAAACTTTTCAAGTCCCAATACCATGGGCCAAATTGAAAGCGCCTTGGCCAAGGTGATGGCATATATACCAGCCATGAGCAACTCCAACGGAGATTGCTCAGTCCTATGGACGGGCGCCAACCCAATGAATACAAGAAGCAACTGGGGAAGAACTACGCCACACGCGACCCACCGGGAACATACGGTTTCCGCAGGGCCAAACAGAGCGGTTCTGAACCAGACGAGCCAAACTCGGCCGGCTCAACGAGTTCGGTCGAGGCCAAAGCCAGGCGGGACAGACAAATCCTGCCGGCCGACTTGGAAACCAGTGACGAAAGTCTGGACGCCACCCGGGACGACACATTCCAGGAAGCGTCCGATGAACTGTCCGAGGCCAACCAGCCTCTGGACAGCCAACCTGGTGCCGATAGGACGGCCCAGGCCAACAGTGTCCCTCGGGACTTGGCACAACAACCGGCCATACCTGGCTCGGGCCAAGTCCAACCTGCGGCGCCAACGGCAGCCACAGGTGAGGACAAGACACGCACTGATGGACTAGGGCCAAACAACTTGGCCCGGTCCAACCTTGACGTCCAGGATCTGACAACAAGTCCAACCCTACCGGGAACGGACCAGATCCAACCCGCGGCACAAACGGTGGCCAAAGGTGGACGCAAGGCCAAGGGCCAAGCCAAAAAGGCTGGTCCAAAGGCACATGACCAGGGCCAACAGCCCATGAGTAAGTCGCCCATCATGTTTGAAGTCGATGGCTCAACCCCTGCAACGCCATCGCCAACCAATGACGTTATCGGCGCGTCTGGCCCGTCCAAACCGGACGGAGAGCCAATTGTGGACCTGGCCCAACTTAATAGGGCCACAGCCAGGATGGACCTAAACCAGCCTTCCTGGGACACAACCCGTGCCAGCGTCACCCCGCCAAAGCTGATCCAGGCAACCCGGCCCGAGGAGCTCGACGAAATCGACCAACTCAGGACCACAGTACGGGACCTGACCAAACAGCTGGCGGATATGGCAGAAGCAGCCCTGCTATCCGAACGCTGGATGCAGGACGAGATCTGCAGACATAAAAACCTTGCGGTCCAATCGGACGCAGAGGCTAAACGCGTCTCGGCCATACTGGCCCAGACCTAACTTGAGCTAACTCAGCTCAAGTTGTCACCATGTCCTAACGCTGAGCGAGACCAGCTCAACAGGACAATCCACAGCCTGGAAACGGCCGTGGCGGGCCTTGAAGCCCTGCTCACCTCTACGAGGACTGAGCTGGCCAAAGCCAGGGATGACTTGGCTGCGGCCCGGACCGCCATTGACGACACCGACTCTGAGGCGGACCGCCTACAGAGAGAAAACGAGCGTATCAACGAAGACTTGTCCAACCTGCAGGATGAAATTAACCGCCTGCGGAACGGCTACAACCTACTTTACGAGAGCCACCAAAATCTCTTGAAGGCGATTCAACAAGGAGGACTGATGAGCCAAACGGTTCAACAGAAGGAGGCACAAAACGTGCAACTCCAGCAACAGATCGTTGCCCTCCAGAGCCAGCTCAATACCGAAGCAACTATTCGGGCACAACTTGAGCAGAACAGCACCATTGGACACCAAAACTTCGTCCAACTGGAGCAGGCCTTCAACCAAGCCAAACAGGTGATCCAAGGCCAACATGACCGGATCATCGTTTTGGAGGCCAATAACGCCGGCCTGGTCAAAGACTACCAGGCGGCCACACAACGCATAACCGAGATGAACGAGGAACTGGAAAGGCTAAGCACGGAAAACGCCTGCTTAGATGCGGAGAAACCACACCTCGTAGATATCAACTCCGAGTTGTCCGCAGAACCACCGTCCTACCACACCTTTCCAGACTCGGATACACAA